AAAAGAAAAGAAAACAGCCTACTTCAAAGCAGCAGGAGATAGTGAAGTTAATTCCAGCGTGTGCACTCAGTGAGACGTGACGGGGTCATTGAAAAATGATCTTTGCAAAGATTTTGTGATTCTCTGGGGCTTGTTCACTGTACGGAATTAAGTTTCAAAAAAAGAAAACGCTAGGCTTCACGGCGGCCGCATAGTTGAGCCATCGGCTCTCGGAGAGAAACTGTAGGCAGAATAAAAAACCCAGGAGGACACACTTCCGAGCGTTAGGACCACGTGGGAAGTAGCCGTGCCTTTTGTAAAGTACGTTTCTCTACAGGCTGTGTGTGCGTTACTTGCAAAATCATAAGGGAATCGTGTTGGTTTCAGAAAACACGGTTCTCGTGAGTTCGTGCCATCGCCGGGACCTGGGGAAGGCGTGGGCACGGGGCCACCCGGCACTCCCTCCCGTGGACCCCGCCAGCCCCTGCCCCGTGACTGCCCAGGGGTCACAGCTCTCTGCCCGAAGACGGAGGGAACAAGATTCCGTTCCCCGCGGCGCCCTGATGGTGGGGCCTCCCCGGGCGCTCCGTGCGCTCTGCGCGGGACGAGGGACTCGAGTGGTCATTCATTCACGCATTCATTCGTTCATTCAAGAAAAATCAGAGCGTCCTCCGCGCTGTTTGGGGCTCTGGCAGCACGCAGGCTCCTGCCCTCGGGCCTCTGTGGGGCAGACCGTGGCAGGGGCGGCCCCCCCGTCACAGCTGAGGAGCCCGCAGTTCCGAGAGCCTCCCCCCTCCCCGGCGCCGCACGGCCAGACCGGGGCAGGCTGTGGCCTGTCTGCTTGCTCATTTCCCCGTCTGCCCCCTAGGCCTTAAAGAAAGACGATGGCGTGCCCTGGTCCGGGATGCTGGCCATCGTGCACTCCTACGTCACCCACAAAACAGGTAGGGGCGCCTTGCGCGGTGGAGGAGGGCGCTTGCTCACGTCCCTCCCGCTGCACCCCGGTCCCCTGGGCTCACTCTGGGCCCATCTGAAGCTGCTCCCAGCCAGGGCTCTGCACAGAGGGACCCTGGGAGTGTGCAGGGCCGTTACTGTGGGGGGTTGGGGGGGGTCATTTCCAGTCCCCGTGTCCTCGGCCGGGACCACTGGCTTCCGCAGGAGGAGATGGCCAGAACGGCCCGGCCTCTTCGCCTGCCTGCGGGCGGGCTCACCTCCCTTCTCTCTCCTAGTCAAGGAAGAGGAGAAGCAGAAGCTGCTACAGAGAGGCGGCGAGCTGCGGAGCGAGCGCCAGCAGCTGGAGGAGCGGGACGGGCGCCTGGCCGCGGCGGTGAAGGTGCGCCGGGGGCGGGGCGGGGGGCCGGGGAGCCACAGGTGTCAGTCCGGGGTCTCGCTGTCCTGATGGTGGCGTCCCGGGGGAGGACAGACTCCCCAGCATCACTGAGCGAGTCCAGAGGTAGGGAACGCGGCTCCGATCCACTCGGCGCTCAGGGCTTGAGCAGCTGAGGGGCTCTGCTCCCCCCCAGCCCTCTGACTGTGGCAGAGCTCGCGTTCTTCTTGTGTAAGGTGCACGAGACGGCGCTGGTGCCGGTGGTGAAGATGGCAGACGTGGTGGGGGGGGTAATGGCGCTAAGGGCAGTGCCAGGCCCTGGTGAAGCTCTTTAAATGTAGCATCTCGTTTACTCTCTCAGTAACCCAAGAAGAGGCTCTGTGATTACTCCGATCTCGGAGCCGGGACACAGTCTCAGGGAGTAGGAGTGATTTCCTCGAGCAGCAAATAGCTGGCACCGTAGCCCACGCGCCCATCCTGACAGCTTCATGCACGTGACTCGTAGAAAGACGAGTGCGGAAGGCAGGGGGTGTGACAGAGCAGAGCTGGCCGGCATCCCTCGGTCTTCTGCGGGTGCTGTAGTGGAGCCTGAACTGGCCCCGAGCTTCCCTGGGGAGGAGGAGAAATAGTCGTGGTCACAAGGTAGCCTCACAGCCGTGAGGAAGGACGTTCCACGCCGCTGCCTGGTGCCTGTGCTGCGCTCTGGCCGGCCTCCCTGGGGCCTCTGCGGTGGAGGGGAGGAGCTGTCGGGGAGAGGGGGGAGAGGGCGGGGGCCGGGGATCGCAATTCTGAGCCCCTCCCCTCTTCCCCTCTCCCCCCGACAGAAATGCCTAGAGCTCAAGACGAGCCTGCTGGCCCGGCAGAGGGGCACGCAGTCCTCCCTGGACCGGCTGCGGGCCCTCCTGAGACTGATTCGGGGCGAGCCCCTGCTGCAGGTCACCGTGGCGACCACCGGCCCCACCCCGCTGCTGGCCCTGCCCTGGACCAAGCCCCCGGCGGCGGCCACGCGCCCCGCCCTCCAGCAGCCGCAGGGGCACAACTGACCCCCAGGCACCGGCTTCCCACCCACGGAAGGTTCCTGGGACCGCGCTCACCAGACCTGAGGGTTCTGTCCGCCTTAATTCACAAACAGTATGAATTTCAGCCGCAAATACCAGACCGAGAGAGACGGAGGAAAGAAGGGGAGAAGGAACCGGGATGGGGGGCTGGAGTCCTACCCTCCACGTTCAGACGGGCCGGGGGCCGGGTGGGCACGGGACGCAGGGCGCACGGTCAGCACCCCCCGACCCCCCACCCCGCTGTTGGGGGGCTGGCCCTGGCCTCTGGCTCCCAGACACAGCTGTCTCCTCGGCCCGTGCTGCCCCCGGGGGACAGAAAGGCAGAGAGAGGTTGGGAGGGAGCCGGGACCCGAAGACCTAGCCGAGTAGTAGCGGTAGTTGGGACGAGCAGTGGGTAGCGAATCTAGGTAGGACCCCGCGCCCCTCCAGCCGGGGGGGGGGGGGGGGCTCGAGGCCACGGCGCTCCAGCGCTTTTCCGGATTGAGGCCCCGACAGTCAGTATTATTAGCAGGAAGCCTCACGGCTGCTGAACTTGAAAGACACTAGGCTGTGGGTCCCTCCGGGGACGCCGCCCCCACTGCCAGGGACCCCGCGTGCCCCCGCGGCCTCGGAGCACCCGCGCCACTCGCCGCCTCCCCTCCGCCGACCTCTCGGGACTCATGTTTCAACTTGACGACGGAAGCCTTTTCTTTTCTCCTTTCGAAGAGCCGATCAAGTATTCCACTCCTTGTCTCTCGCCAGTACAGACACTATGCCAAAAAATAACTTTACACTTTTGTATGGCGTTTTTATTGTAAGATATTTAATGTGAAGGGGGGGACGCCTGCGACTTCTTTCCCCGCTTCAGGCAGTCTCTGCTACAAGGTACGAATGCGAAAACCCTTCGGGGGGGGTCCTCCCAACTTGGGGGGGTCCTGCGGGGTTCTTTCAGAAGGAAGGGTGGGGGGGAGGGAGACGGGGTGGCAGCCTCGAGAGGGTTTGGCCTTTGGAGACTCAAGAGTCCCTCTTAATAGAGCGGAGGGCGCGCGTGCCGTCCTACACGGGCTCCCGCGTCCCCAGGGTGGCCTGTCACCCCCCTGCCCCGCCCCGCCCCCAACTTCTCCGGTCCCAAGGGACACAGCACAAACAGACAAGCATCGGGAAGCCACAGGGCTCCCACCCCAGCATATCACGTGGTGCCGCACTGCACTGGACACACGTGCGTGCGTGTGCACACTCGGCCCCAGACACGCACGTGCACGCCAACAGGTGCAGGGCGGGGGGGTGGGGGGCAGCCAGAATGCCACGGACTCTGCCCTGCCCTCCTGCCATTTTCTCGACTCCGGGATAAACTGTGCTGTACGATACAGATCTATTTTAATACACTTACCACTGGGTTGAACAAGATTTTTATATTCTTTTATTGATGAACAAAGTGCGCTGTGAGTCACACGTCGTCTATATTGGTTACTCTAGATGCCGATCGTGCGTCGCCGCGTGGCTCGCGATGGAAACGTCTTCAGGTTTCCTTTCCGTTGGTTCGTTTTTCTTCTCGGATGGATCGAATCGAATTAAAAAAAAAATATGTAACGGGAGGATGTGAGAGGCTGGACCCGGGAGGGGGAGCCGCCGACGCGCCTTGAGACTTAGTGTTTTGGACCGAGGAGGGCCGTCCAGTGGGTAGTGAGGCTAGAGAAAGTGTGTGTCTTAAATATGCCCGTGTAGTTTCCCTTCTGTGCGATGCATTAAACTCGACGGATGATTTCAAAGCCGCGTGGTCCTCATTTCCTTGCCTTTGGCAGAGAGGCCTCCGGGGGCCCGTGGGGCAGGGGGGCGGGACCTTCAGGCGTGGAAAATCCGGGTCCTGCGACCCCCCACCCTGGGGAGGAGGGAGCTCATGGGCGCCCTGCACGTGCTGATCCCACACCCCTCGCCCCCAGAGGTGGCGGCTGCACCTGCTGGGACGCGGCTGCCAAGACTCACGAGCAACAGAAGCCCCCAGGCCAGTGTGGACCCCGCTCCCTCGCTCCTTCCGGCTTCTCGGCCCACCGACAGCACCTGCCTTTTCTGTCCCGCACGAGGCCCCACGACCACCCTGGGGCTTAGTCCTTGGCCTTTCAAGACCGAGGCCAGCCTGGGGGGGCAGCCCCCCGCATCCTAGCTCCAGACACTCCAGGGGCGCCCAGTCAGGCCCATCCGGACCACCAGATGCGGCCAGGGTGGGACCAAATACAGTGACAGCCCCCTGGGGCCCCAGGACGGAGGGACGCGCCCAGAGACTGGCGGTGGGGGGGGCGGGGGGGCAGCACAGCTCGCCCAGACGGAGTCTCCGTCCTGTCCGGTTTCCAAGCTGACCCAGAACCACATCGTGTGGGTGGGGCCTAGAGCTCAAGGCGGCTCTGCCTGACCCCCCGCCCCCCAGAGTCAGCCAGTCTCAGCCCCGGGGTCCCTGGGGAGCCCCTCACCCTCCCTCCCGGCTGGGGAGCCTCAAGAGCCCCCTTGTTCTCAGAGTCCCTCACGTTCCTCCCACTTTCTGGGGTCCTTTCCAACCAGGCTGCCTCTGCTACCCTGGGGCTGCCCAATTCAAGGGCAGGGGTGACCTCTCTGCGGCCAGACTTGTGGGTGACACACTGGCCAGCCCTCTGCTGAAGGACGCCCCCCCCGACGCCCCCTCCCCTGTTGGTTTTCTCCGTTTGCCTCTTCTGCCTAATCGCTGAATGCCCGGTGGCCCCGGTCTGCACCCAGACCTCTCCTCCCCTCCTGAATTCCCCTCCCGTCCAGCCTCCGTGCGGGCTGTTCCCCAGCTGTTCCCTGCGGGCCGGGCCCCCGCCTGGGCCTCCGCACACTGGGCGTCAGCAAGCCTCTGCCTCCGCCAGGCCAGCTCTCCTGCTCATTTCCCGTGTCCGGGAGAGTCCGCCTTCCTGACACGCGGCCTAGCTCCCCAGCGGCCTCAGAATATAGCAGGAGGTGGCCGTGTGGCCCACCCACCCCACCACCACCCGGGTCTCCGCCGCCACCTCACCTGGCTTACCGCGGCCGGGGCAGCCGGGACCGTTAACACATGCTCCTCCCCACCTCGCTGCTGCCATCAGTTCTCAGCCCAGCAGCCAGTGGGACAAGGCCTCTCTCTGCTGAAACCCTGCTGCCAAGGCCCATCTTGCTTGGCCGCAGCGCAAGCCCTGCAAGGGCACAGTCACTGCATTCTCCACCCCTACCTCTCTCCAGTCTCCTCGCTACATTCCAGCCACGCGGCCTCCCCGCTCTACTTGGAACCCATTTGGCATGCTCCTGCCACAGGGCCTTTGCACATGCTGTGTCCTCACCAGGCACGCCCAGCTGTCTCTTGGATTGGCTCTTGCTTGGGGACTTGACCCCAGCCACCCTCACGAAGACAGCATTTCCTCTCCTTCCCGTTGCTTCCTTAGATTTTAACAACTTTCTATGATTCGCCTTTTTTGTCTGCTCCCCAAAGGCAGGGAACTTGGTCAGTTTCACGCACCGATTCCCAGCATCTAAAACAGCGCCTGACACACAGTAAGCAGCCGCTCAGGAAATACTCGAGGACTAAATGAAGGAGCCTTTCAAGAGACAGAGCTGCCAGGCCTCGGGGCTGCCTCCCTCCGGGTTCAGGACCTGGCCCCGCGGGCGCCCTGCTCCCAGTCCAGCTGCTGGACCCACTCAGCCAGTGAGGGTGGAGGGTGGGGGTGTGAGAAGGCTGGGGCCAGGCCGCTGCAGAGACCAGGGCCCTGCGGCTGCATGGGGGGAGGGGCGTCCACACTCCACCTTGTCCTCGCCCTCCAACCCCATGTGGGGGGTTCCAGGAGAGCCCACCTTGCCCCCACTGTGAAAGGCAGGGGCGGAGGCGTGGGGGTCCAGCGCCCCAGGTCAGGACAGGAGCTCCCTCCACACTGGGATGACCCCCCCCCCCCCGTCCCTTCCCCCAAGGCCACAAGGTTTAAACAACAGAAGTGAATTCTCCTCCAGTACCAGGCGCCCAGGGCCGGGCCCCCCGGGGCTGGGGAGCAGAAGCTGGTGCCACCTGTGTCCTTGTTCTCTGCCCGCTGGCGAGCTGTGGCGCCCCCTGGCCTGTGGACCCGCCGCCCCGATCTCCGCCTGCGGCCTGCCCCGTGGGCCCTGGCAGGGAGCCCTCTCCCATGAGGGCAAGGCCACAGCAGACCAGGGCCCACCCTAACGGTTCCGCATAAACTCAGCCATCCTGTTTCCACATAAGGTCACATTCACCGGTCCTGGGGGGCTAGGACCCCAACCTCTTTTTAGAGAACACGATTCAACCCGTCACAGATACCCTGCCTTGGGCTGGGTGAGACCTGCTTCCCTACGGCTTCTCCCCGCCTCCGGCACTGCCCCCGAGGCGCATCTGCCCCCACACAGCCCTCGGGGTGGAGACCCCACGGAGCCCGCCCCGCCCGGCTCCTTCCTCAGACCCCCCTGGCACGTGACACCCCCTCAAAGGGGGCCACAGCACAGGGACTTGAGTGGCACTCCCCGGTCACACAGCCAGCCGGGGACTTGAGCCTGGGCTGTGGCTCTGCGCCGGTGCTCTGGGCACCTCTGCGACTCTGCCCACAGGACCCTGGTCACCTCCCGGGGCACAAGTGGTCACCCGGGGGCCACCCTGCCAAGCTGCACATACGCCCACTCCTGACCCAGCAACCCGGCCAGCCGGGAGCTGCCAATGGCGCCCCAGGCCCCGGGCGGCCCCACTGACAAGTGCAGTGGACAAATAAAGGAGTGCAAGCCGACTAAGCTCTAGTGACCAGGCAGGCTGGGCGAGGAGCCCAGGGCGCGACTCCCCCCCCCCCGCCATGAAGTCCCACAGTGGGGGAAGGGTGCTTCCTTTTAAAATATTTTTTTTCTGTATTTTTAAGGGAGAGAGAGTGAGTGTGAGCAGGGGAGGGGCAGAGAGAGAGGGAGACGCACAATCTGAAACAGGCTCCAGGCTCCCAGCTGTCAGCACAGAGCCCGACGCAGGGCTCGAACTTGTGAACCTTGAGATCATGCCCTGAGCGGAACTTGGGTGCCTAACGGACTGAGCCCCCAGGCGCCCCGGGAAGGGCGCTTCCTAAGCTAAGCTCTGCTTTGCCCCGACCCCGTCTTTCAGATTCCCCCGAGGCCCCAAACTATGGCTGCAGGTTCCGGTGACAGCATTTCTGCACGCTGAGACCTGTGCACGTCCCGGGAAGACGTCTGCGACCAGAGAGTGTGACCCCACCCACAGAGCCAAGCCCAGCTTGGGCAGCTGCCGCTCACCCTACCCCCGCCCACCTCCCCCTTACAGGGTAGGAAGGGTCTCTCCCCAACGGGGCCCCAGCGAGGATCCCGCGTCCGGCATAGAGGCTGGGTGCTGGCTGCGGCTGCTCGTTCGCCCGCCGACTTCCACGTGGCAAGGCCCCTGCCCCCACCCGCCAGGATTCCTGGTTTTCAGACAGAACAGAGGGGTCCCGCCCAGCTGCAGGACAGCGCAGCTCCCAATGGGTCGGTTCTGAAGTCAAGTGACAGAGATCAAGTTGTTACGAGGCCGCGGAGGGCTGGCTGCGGGACGGTGTCTTCCTCCCTCGCCCACGGGAAGTCCCAGGAGCTGTACCCACCGCCTCCACGGGGCGCTGCTCAGAAATGACGGGAGGCCCCCCGGGAAAGGGCCGCCGCTGGCAGCAAGGCCACGTTTCTGCCGGAGCCCACGGCCACCACAGGTCCCTGTGCGCATCTCCGACCAGATCCGTGTCCAGGGACCCCGTGTCGGTAGCTTGAAATCAGCCGTGGTGGCAGCATTTACACCACGGAAAAGACCCAACACATCGGGGCCTCACCTCCCTCGAGAGCCAGAGGCCACACACTTACCGGCACACCGCCGTGCGTGCACGAGTGACGTGTCCGCACACAACACACGCGTGCAAGCGGCGGAGAGACGGAGGAATGTTTCCAAAGCAGGCGTGTGCCCAGGACCCGCCACAGGTGCCGGGGTTGAAACTGCGACACTAGATTCCTTACGAGGTCTCCAGACACGAGCCACTTCTCGGAATCTGGCAGCTGACCGAGAGCGGATGGATGAAGGGGCAACCATTTCCGTGTTCTTCACGTAGGTGCCCTCGCGGCCGCTGACCACTGTGCGCAGGCGCAGGTCTCTGCTTGTGTTTGCCTTCAACCTCTCTGGATAGTTCAAGTGCACGCGGTCAGGGCGCCGGGGAGGCTCAGGCAGCTCAGCATCGGACTCTCGGTTTTGGCTCAGGTTGTGACCCCAGGGTCATGGGATCGAGCCCTGTACCTGGCTCCGCGCCGAGCACGGAGCCTGCTTAGGATTCTCTCGCCCTCTCTGCCCTCCCCTGCTCCCTAAATTCATTAACTAAAGTGCATCTAGTCATGTCTTGGATTTATGTCCATTTTGACAATATCTGCCCTGCTCTTAATTGTAGCATTTAGTACATTAACATTTGAAAATAATTATTGAGGGGCGTCTGGATGGCTCAGTTGGTTGAGTGTCTGACTTTGACTCAGGTCGTGATTTCACGATCGTGAGTTCGAGCCCCGCGTTGGGCTCTGTGCTGACAGCTCGGAGCCTGGAGCCTGTTTCGGATTCTGTCTCCCTCTCTCTCTGACCCTCCCCTGCTCACAGTCTGTCTCTCTCTCTCAAAAATAAACATTAAAAAAATTTAAAGAAAGTAATTAATGACATGGTTTGATTTAAGCCTACCACTTTTTTTTTGTCCTGTTTGTCCCTTGTTTTCTTGTTCTCATGTTTACCCTTTCTTGCCTTATTTTGGATTTTTGAATATTTTTTGGAGTTCCACTTGCAACTTCTCTATTTTCGAAGCCGTCTCTTTTTGCAGCATTTTACGGCGGTTGTTTTAGGGATCACGTGCCTCCACACCTTTTCAGTTTACTTAGGATGAATTTGGCCCCACCCCACGTCCGAGGTAGAAACCCCGAAACCCTGAACCCACAAGTTCCCTTGTTGTACCTAATGCCGTAGCTGTTGTATGTATCACACTCGCCTCTGCCTTACACGGCTCTGTTCCTTTAAAATCAGGAGGGGCAAGGACTCCTTTCTATACCCCACATATTTACCATTTCCAATGATCTTCATTGGTTCCAATATATCCAGGTTCCAAACTGTTCTCATTTCTTATCTCGTTGAAGAACTTCCTTTGGCATTTGCGTCGTCGCTGCTGTGCAGGTCGGCCAGCATTTTTCTTTCACCTAAAAAAGGTTTTGACTTAACCTTTAAAATATTTTTGGCTGACAAAGAATTCTGGTTTTCGCACTTTCCTCCCCTCCTTTGGGCAATTTATTGCCATTCCAGTGTCTTTTGGCCTTTGTAGGTTCAGCTCGCAAGTCGGCTGCACCCAACGGCTGGTCCGCTGGTATCGTTTTTCTCTGGATGCTTTCAAGATTTCCTCTTTTCGGGTTGCAAAAGCTTCATTGTAGTGTGCACTGGGTCATTTACTTTGTATTTTATCCAGCTTCGGGGTTCAAGGAGATGACTGAATCTGAAAATTTATGTCTTTGGCCAAACTGAAAATATTCTGAGCCATTCATTTTCAAATGGCTTTTGTGCCCTATTCTCTCCCCTGCCTCAGAACTCCAGTAACATGTATGTGACATATTCTGACGTTGTCCCACAGGTCTCTGGGGCTCTCTTCATATTTTTCAATCCTTTTACTCTTTAAGTAATCTTTACGCCAAACTTGGGGCTCAAGCTCACAACCCCGAGGTTAAGAGTTGCATGCTCTATGGACAGATCCATCCAGGCGGCCCCATTTCACTCTGTATAAATACACAGAGTGGGTAACTTCTATCAGGCTACCTTCAAGGTCACCGACTCTTCCGTCAGCTCTTCTCCTAGTGAACAGAGCCAGCGGTTTTATCTTGCTTCCTTCCCCCCACTCCCATACTTTCAGGTATTATATTTGGTTTTCTAAAACTCCCCCTTTGTTTCCTATGATTTCTATGTTTTTTACTGAGACTGCCAATCTTTGCATTTATTTTTTTTTAATTAGAGAGAGAGAACACGTGCGCATGAGCGTGAGAGGAGCAGCAGAGAGAGGAGCCCAAGCAGACTCCACACTCTAAGTGTGCCCAACGCAGGGCTCAACCCCAGGAACCACGAGATCACCACTTAAGTTGAAATCAAGAGTCGGACGCTTAACTGAGCCACCCCGGCGCCCTACTTTTGCATTTATTGTAAGCACATTTTCCTTTATATACTTGAGGAGGAGTATAATAGTTGCTTTCACATCCCTCATGGTTATTTCTAACATCTGTATCACTTTAAGGTTAGTCTCTGTTGATTGGTTTAGAGTAGGCTGTATTTCCCTGGTCCTTCATATAGTGATTTCTCGTTGTATGCTAGACCTTGTGATCTTGTCGTAGAGGCTCTGGGTTCCACTGGGAGCCAAGCCGCATACTCTATTCGGTTCAGTCTTTTAGCCACAGCTGGCGTCTGTCCTGCTCAGGTGTGGCTCGGGGATCCGGGAGAACTCTGGGCAGAGTCGATGCACAGAATTTAGGCTTCCCTGAGCCGTTTCTCTCCTGTGTGAATTCCCTGCCCATTTCCGAGTGACTGCCGTTCCAAACTCTGTCCTGTCCTTCCGCCAAAAAGACCAAATTTCTACTGGAGATACAGCCACTCTAACAGAAGTGCCAACTTCAGCCAGGCTCGCGTTAACAGCCACAGGACTCAAGCTCACCCTACGCCATTCACTTTTCCGAGTGTGGACCCCCCCTCCAGAATCTGTCTGTGTTCCTCCTGTGCCTTCAAGTCATTGCCTGTGGGGGCTCCAGCCAGACTGCAAACAGAGCCCTTACATATATAAACATTACAGCAATAGTTAAAGGCCCTTTGCCCCTCTCCTCTCTGAGGGATTTGGTATGTCTCCTGCCTATTCACCTTTTAAAAATCCGTTTTCTATGTATATTGTTCGAAAAAGCTTAATACTGGGGCGCCGGCTGGTTCAGTCAGTAGAGCATGTGCCTCTTGATCTTGGGATTCTGAGTTCAAGTCCCATGTCGGGTGCAGAGATTAAAGTGAGATGTTTTTTAAGCAGTGTAATACTGTATAACGTAAACAGAAATAGGGTCAGGGATGTTTAGAACTTTACACGAGTGATAACACACTGTTTATCGTTCTCTCCCCGCCGATGCACTCTCTGGCGATCTCCCCGTGTCGAGCCACACAGACCCAATTCATTCATCTTTACTGCTCAGTCCCACGGTCGTAACTCCTGTCTGCTATCCCTTCTACGGGTGGCCACTCGGGCTGCATCCAACCGTGTGCTCCGACAAGAACACGCCGTGACACTCTGGCATCCGCCTCTCTGATCACTTACTGAGACACGATTGCTGGGTCCGCGTTAGCCTCGCTCCCCTGCTAAATTGCTTTCCAAAGTGACTGTACCAACTTACAGCTCTACCAACGGTACATAAAAGCGCCTGCACCTCAAAATATTAGCAGTGGTTATCAATGAGAAGTACAATTTCACGTGATTTCACCTTCTCTTTCTATACTTTCTGTCATTCAACTCTTTCCCCCTCTGAGCAGCTGTTCTTACAACAGCGGAGTTTTCTGTTCGCAAAACAGCAGCAGAACCGGTCCGTCGTCGCCCACCCCTCTCCACGTCAGGGGAGCCCACCACCCTCTGCTGCCCACAGGTCAGGTGACAGGGCTGCGAGGTGCCCAGCAGGCGCTGCTCTGTCCCCTACCCACTCCCCTCACTTGCCTGTGTCCTGTGCACACTGCTTTGGCCTGAAATACACTGATTTGTGCATTTCTTTGCTTATTTACTCCCTGACTATTCTGGAAGCCCCGGGAAGGCAGGAAGTACATTCTGTAACTCATCTCCGTAACTGAGAGATCGGCACTGCCTGGCTTGAAGCAGGTGCTCAAGAGCACACAGGGGACGGCAGAGTGGACAGCGCCTTCCACACACTCGCACACCCACAGCAGGGGACAGAGAGCGGCCCACGCTGCACCTTCCGACTGGGCAAGACGGCTGGCCCAGGGCCACACAGCGGTGAATCCAGGCTGGTAGCAGAAGCGGGGTGCCCGGTCCCTGCTCCCCCAGTGACGGCGGCCTGGCTCTCTTCGGGGCAGACCAACTGCTTGCTTTGTCACGGACTTCTGTGCTCTGGACGGGATTCGAGAATCCATGTGTGCAGCGACAAGGTCTGGGCAGCCTGCCTGATCTCTGGAGTCACTTAATGTCTCTGTCGTTTCTGCACAAGGGAGTTGGAACAATGTATTCCCCACGTCCTGTCGACAGACACGCTGGGGCCCCGAGGCCGTGTCACAGCTCGTTGTTTCATGGTGACATGCACCACACGTGCCGACACATCGTCGCTGCCATCGCTTTCCTTTGCCACAGAAATGATGGGGGGATATTGTGCTTCAACACGAGGAAGGGTGCAAGTCCACGCTGTGCCGAAGCCGGGCTCCACAATCACCGCTTGTGCAAGGGAGACTGTTACCAAGGCAGCCACAGGGACACGTCTCAGAGTCGGGAAATTTGAGGCATATATTTCACAGGCACGCATCACACTGTAAACCCTTCTTGCATAATGCACGAGATTTGATTTAATGTCGTTGTTAATTCTGCTGTTCACAGCGGCGCGCTCTTAAGGGAGCCATCATTTTTATTTCAGCATGGATTATTTCCCCCTGGCAACAGAACCCGGAGACTTTTCTGGGGCTGTGCTGAAGTGTGCGAGCTCAAGGCCCCTCAAGGCACGGGGGGCAGACGCCAGGCAGCTTACCCGGAGGCCGTGGCTCGTCTCCGGGAGGCCCCTGGGGCCCGCTCGGCTCTCCGTGCCCGGCTGTGGTCGGTCAGAGCTCAGAGGGTCGAGTTCAGAAAACAGAAGAAGGAAACGGGGAAAGGCTCTGTGGCAGAGCAGCCAGGAAGTAAAGCGAGGGTCACCCTCCAAGCTGTGTGACAGGGCCGCTGTGGCCCAGGGTAGCCAAGGCATGAGAAGGAACAGGACGGACAGTGTGGTGAAGTGTGGGGAGCACGTGAGAACCACCCCGTACAGGCAGGGACCCAGCGGAGGAGGGCGGCTGCCTCCCGCCAGCCCCTGGGCCCGCATCTTTGCGTCTGTCCTCCGGCCCCGACCACGTTGACCTGATGGCGCAGAGCCCCCCAACCCAGGGAAGATGTGTTCAGGGCACCGCAGGGCCCCCCTCGCAGCACCCCGGGGCTTCCACCTCCTCTGCTCCAGAGACCTTAACGGGATCAACGTCCCTACGACCCAGATGGACGACCAGGGCCCAGGGACACAGTGTGACAGCCCTGACACGGGCCGGAATCTGTGTCGGGGACAACCGATCCTCAGTGGGAAGGGTCAGCCGTCCCCTGACAGGTGCTGGAGGTGCTCCAAGGTCACACGGCCCCTTCTTTAAGGACACAGGAGACGAGCAGAGCAGCGGACTGCACACCAGACCAGGGAGAGGGAGCGGTGAGCCAGGCACCCGAGCCCCCCCCAGGTTCCAGAGTGGAGCCCCAGGGCCCACATGGGCACCTGGGGGCCCGCACCCCTTCCCAGGCCTGGACAGTCTGGGGGCGGGGGTGTGTGTGTGCAACGGACATTTATCCTCTGCTTCCTGACAACCTCCCCTCCTCCACGCAGCCCGTGCTTGGGGCCCTTGGCCAGTGTCTGACCCGGCTGACACTCAGTGACACTCAGTGGAGGGTGGCAGGAGGGGGCACCACCCAGCCTGCTGCTACGGATGCGCAGTGTGCTCCCCGCAGTCCAGAATCCGTACACTGACGCCCTGAGCCTCAGTGCGGCTGTACCTGGCGACGGGGCCCTTACAGAAGGACTTCAGGCTAGATGAGGCCACGTGGCTGGGCCTTGAGCCACCAGGGTTAGTGTCCTTCTGAGGAGAGACCAGAGGGCTCGCTGCCCCCCCATCCTGCTGGGCAGGGACGCCATGGGCAGGTGGCCGTGCGCAAGCCAGCAAGAGGCCTGCCCCCAGCAGGACCCGGCCACGTGGGCACGCAGATCTCAGAGCCTGTACGAAGGACACGTCTGTTGTGGAAGCGCCTGGCCCGTGGTATCTGTGACAGCGGCCTGAGGTAACACAACGGGGCGCCACCCACCTTCCACCCCAGCCCAGCGGGGGGCACACGACTCAGGCCGATCAGCACAGACCCGACCACAGTGAGGGTCAAGGTGGGCGTGGGAGCCAAGTCTGTCTGACTGGGGGGGTCTGGGGGGCTCTGTGCTGGGAACATGGGTCCACTTTCCTCCACTGGATCTAAGCCGGACACACACAGCGCATCCCCCAGCACGGAGGGCTCAGCCGGCCAGAGACCGCAGAGCCGGGGTGCGACCAGGAGCCCTTGGCACGCCCCAGTTCCCCACCCCCAAAGTCGCCCTTCACTAAACAGCATCCCAGAGCCCCCCCACTGTGACCCCGTCCTTGGACATGACATTTGCTCTGACCTACGGGAGCAAGTATCCAGGCCACCAGCCAAGGCTTGCAAACCACATGCACCTGTGACTGCCCCTCAGCCCGCACACGAGATGGTCCCCCCACCCCCGAAAGGCACGTGGCACCCGTAGGAAGCTGCGTCCCCCCCGCTGACCTCCAGCCGGCCCGACAAGAGCAGAACCGCTCAGCCACCCGCTCCCCCGCGGACAGGGACGAACGGCCGTGACCTGAGTCACGTCTGCCACCCAGTGTGACGGCAACAGCCGCCGCCGGACGGAAGGCCCCCACCAGTGAATTCCCATCTCCACTGAAGCTGCGCTGGTCACGATCCCACAGGTCCATCCTGCTCTCAGGCACCAGGGCCGAAGGGCCAGAACCCCGGCCGTCACTAGAAGGCTCATGGGAAGTCTGCTCAATGGCAAGTTCACGGCACACGAGGCCAGAGCGCACAGGTGGCCTCGCCGTGACATGTCCCACGCTACAGGAGTCCCCCGGGCACCGTCAGGGGCCGTGGAGGTGCGGGGCGCGAGGCCGGGTCCTGGGGGTGTCCGGCCCCCATGCAGCCCCTAGAGCAGGGGCCGCCCCGCCCCCCGGCCTCAGGGCCGCCGGCGCCAGGCTCCCCGCGGGCCTCCGGGGCGGAGACCTTCTCGTAGTACTCGATCAGCAGCTCGGTGAACAGGTTCAGGCGCACGAGGGCACTCAGGGAGGACGCCCCTGGCACGGCCAGATCAGATTCAGCCCGAAGACGCACGCCAGGTCGGAGCTGTTCATTCTGTTAGAAATGCTCTCCCGGGACACCTGGAAGACACACACGAGACACGGGAAGTGACCACGGGTTCAGTGCTGTGGCCGCGCCCGGCTCGGGGCCTCGGGTTCACCATCTGCAAAGGGAAGCGGTCAGTCTCGATGCCCTGAGACCCTCAGGCTCTGGCCGTCACCCCCGGCCTCTCTTCCACACCAGAGGACCCGGGCGGTCCCCTCAGGGACAGGGGTCTCCAGCACAGCGGTGCAAGCGTGGCCTTTGGCTGTCACCCAGCCACACCACCTCTCTGATACCCACAGTTCCAGGCAGGGGTCGTTGGGGGTCTGGGAGCAGCGGGGGAGGGGGAGAATTGGCCTTACGGCACTTATGATCTCATGAAGTGGGATGCATCACCCATTTTACAGATGAAGAAACCAAGGCCCAGAAGGTGCAGGGGACTTTCCCAAAGTCATGTGGCCAGTCAGTGACAGGGGGGCCCTCAGGCCCGTCTGAAGGCCTGATATCCTGCCTCCAGGGTCCTGGGGACCGCCACAAAGCAGAAGCAGAGACCACGACAGAGCCACGGGGGTCACGGGAGAGCAGGGCACTGGGGGTGGGGCAGGACCCGGTGACGCGCCGTGGACCTGGTGAGGCCGCCCAGCCCTGCCTCTGGAAGACACCGGCCCCCCGGCCCCCACAGCGCCAAGCCTGGGGGACGTATTAACGTCAGCCTACAGACAACAGAAAAATAACTCCAGCTCCAGCACATGAGGCACAATTAGGAAAAAAGATGAGGACAATAACTTAGTTTTGGCCTCTGAGAAACGACATCAAGTGACAGAGAAGAGGAATGAAATAGTTTATTATTTTTTTAAAGCAATCCTGGGGCGCCTGAGGGGCTCAGTCGGTTGAGCGTCCGACTTCAGCCCAGGTCATGATCTCACGGTTCCTGGATTCGAGCCCTGCGTCGGGCTCTGTGCTGACAGCTCAGAGCCTGGAACCTGCTTCCGATTCTGTGTCTCCCTCTCTCTGCCCCTCCCCCGCTCCTGTGCTATCTTTCAAAAATATATCAATGTTAAAAATTTTTTTAAAGTAATCTCTATACCCAACGCGGGGCTCAAACTCATGAGCCCCAGATCAAGAGTCCTCTGCTCTACTGATGGAGGCAGCCAAGTGCCCCTGAAATAGTTTATTTTTAAAACCAAGAAATGATGTTTGACAGATGCCCACATGTGACACCGGCTGTGCCCGGAGGTCTCCTCCCCTCCATGAGTCATCACACCCCGAGGGCACCTGCCACGGAGCCCTGAGACCTGGGACAGGCCCCTGCTGTGGGGTACCACCCGTGGGTGGCTAGAGGCCCAGACCTGCACCCCACACCGCCTGCAAAGGGTCCGGAGAGGTGACGAGTCCCAGGAAGGGTCACACAACTGCGGATCTGGGTCTGGGAGCAAAGGGAAGGCTTCCCCGTTGACCTCGCGGACGCGGCTCCCGGGGTGGGCAGCTAAGTGCCGCCCCGGGGCCGGGACAGCTGTTTCTCTTACCCTGTGTAGGGGCTGAATGGCAGCCCCACACCAGCCATCTGTGGACACAACCTCATTTGGAAACAGGGTCTCTGCAGATGTAATTATGGAATCAAAGTGCGAACGTTCTGAACCATCCAGGTGGCCCAAGTGCACAAGCATCCTTGAAGGAGAAAGCGGAGGGAGATCTGACACATGAAAGGGAACAGGCCACGTGGATATGGAGGCGGGAGTGAGGTGGCCACAAACCAAGGGATGCGAGCCACTAAGAGCCGGAACGGGCAGGAAGGACCCTCCCGGGGCCGCTGTTGTGGAATAGCCCTGCCCGCATCCGGATTCTGGGCCTCTGGCCTCCAGGACTGTGACCATGACCTCTATTGCCGGAAGCTGCCCTGCCCGTGCTGCTTTGTAACTGCAGCCCCGGCACACCCGGAGCTGGGCACACGTCCCTCCCACAGGAACGGCCTGCTGGGCCCGCTCACACCGTGACCGAGGCTCGGCCAGCACCCTGGCCCGGGGACACGGCCCCTCCCTCTACAGACAGCCTGTGCAGGAGACAACGCGGGAGCAGAGGACCGCAGTCAAGAAGGTTCCATCGTGGGGCGCCTAGGTGGCTTGGTCGGTTAAGCGTCTGACTCTTGATTTTGGCTCAGGTCGTGACTTCACTGTTTATGAGGATGGACCCCCTGTCAGGAGAGCGTGGAGCCTGCTTGGGATTCTCTCTCTCCGCCCCTCCCCTGCTTGCACTCTCTCTCTCTCAAAATAAGTAAATAAACATTAAAAAACATAAATCAATAAAAAAGAAGGTCCCACCCATGACCAAGGGCAGCCAGGTATGAGTCCTCAGGCGCAGGTGACCCCGCCCGGCAGAAACGGAGCAGTGGCCTGGTCAGGCCTTCAAGTCCTCTGGGCCAGGAAGTCGTGTCCCAAGGCTGGGGAGACCCCAGGCCCTGGCGTGTGCGGGCACCGGGTGCAGGAATTTGGGGCTCCCTCCTGGGCCCTGCTTTGCCCACCCACCTCATTCAGGAAGCCCATGAGGTATCAGAGGATGGCGTAGTTGTGTTCCGGAAGGCTCTGCAGGATCTGGCGACAGCAGGTCACCCGCAGGCTGCTCTCCACACCTGCAAGGGCACAGGGGTCCTTCCTGAGTCCTTCCTGAGGGGCCGGCACAGGCACACAGGAAGTCAGCGCCGAGGACACACCTTCCCAAGGTGGGGCCTGGCTGTTCTCAGCGAAGCCCTCCCTTCTGTGAGCTCAGTTCCCTTCTCTACGATGGCACCGCGCTATCACCTCCCAGAAAGTCCGTAAAGCCAAATCACTCACTTTGTTAATGTTTATTTGTGAGAGACAGAGAGTGCGAGTGTGAGTCGGGGAGGAGCAGAGAGAGAGGGAGACACAGTATCCGAAGCAGCTCCAGGCTCTGAGCTGTCAGCACGGAGCCCGACGTGGGGTTTAAACTCACGAACCGTGAGATCATGACCTGAGCCAAAGTGAGACACTCAACCGAGACCCCAGGCGCCCCGCAAATCACTCACTTTGTAAACGGGAATGGTCTAGACCAGTGGTCGTCAAACTACAGCCTGCGGGCCGAATGGCCTATTTTGTCAATAAAGCTTTACTGGTACAGAGCCACATCCATTTGTGTCCACATCACCTGTGGCTACTTTTGCCCAACAGCAGAGCCCAGCGGCGGCAACACGGACTGACGCGCAAAGCCTAATATATCTGACCCTTTGCAGAAGTTTGTCTACCTGCTCCAGGCTAACTTAACCTGTTTGATGCCCTGTGGCTCAGGGACCCACGCCCACCAAGGGCCCGGGTGAGGCTGCCCCAGACGCAGCCGCCCACTTCCTCATCACTGCCCTCCACTGAACTCCGCAAACGTCAAGTCAGAGCGCACCCACAGCTACTCACCATCTCCCCACGCTCCTGCTGCAGACGCACACGCACCCCAGTCCGCCAACACGCTAGCCTCTCCGGGCTCAGCCTTGGGCGGGGCTGCCGTGAACCTGCGTGCTTTCCAAACACAGCCACTGCTCAGAAGACACAAACCTCCGTACCGTGAACGTTCTCGTTGGCCCTGTAGTAAAAGCCTCGCTTTCCGGAACTCAAGCTGTTGTGGGTGACGCGAATGGACACAGAGTCCCCGGGAAATGAACACCTCCAAGCAACTGACGAGCCTGGAGGCCACCATCTTGTTTCCTGGATCTCAGCCTTCCGGCCTCAACCTCCTCTTTGTAAGATTTATGGTCCCGGGGCAGATCCTAGTACAAGGCCCACCACCCATGCTCTCTAAGCTTTCACAAAGCGCTTACTGTGTGCCATGAACCATCATGCAGGCGTTTTATGAATAATCCTCGAAGCTGCCCTAATTTTATACAGATAAGAAAAGTGAGCTCAGAGAGGGTAAGTGACTTGTCCAAAGTCACACAGCTAATGCGTTATGGTGCCGAGACTTAGATCCAGATCTGTACGGCTCCAGGCCAGTGCTCCTAACCTCCTTGCTCTCCACCCGTGGCTCTTCCCTCCAGCCCGCTAGGCCAGGCGCTCCCTGCCCCGGAACCCAGACAGCCAGCGCCTCCCGGGACCCCGTTAGACGTGCGAATTCTTGGGCCACTGCCCAGACCTACGGGGTCTGAAACCCCAGGGTGGGGCCCGGGACCCGTGTTTGAATGTGCCCTCTGGGGGGGCTTGATGCCGGGGGACTCCTGGGACCCCCCGACACCCCGCCAAGCCCGCGCCTCTGCTCACCCTCCTCTTCCCTCCCGTGAGCGCCATGCACACTGCAACGTGTCACCCTGCCACACCCAGTTCAACGACGCGCCCGTCCCCGCAGCCAGCCCGGGGCTCCCGGTGAGCAGGGCCTGCGTGCCCCCTGCCCTCCTGTCCGCACCTGGCCCGCCCGGGCCGCGGCAAGCGGGTGCTGGAGGCAGGGGACACCCGTGTTTGGGAAGCACTACCGCACTGGGGGCAAGGCCGGCTCGGCCGGAACTGCTCCGCACTCCTGCAGAGGGGACCGGCGTTCCGGAGGGACAGTGAGGACGCGGGGAGGGGGCAGGGGTTGGCGGGGCCTGGGCAGAGTCAGGGAGGGGGCAGCTCAAGTGACCTGGGCGTCCGGGTGTGTTCACGGGAGACACCCGCTTCCGGTGTCCTGGGATGCGGTCAGCGGGGCAGGCTGCTTAGGCCCTTCCCCTCCCGGGACACTGGGGACCCCCCACGGCTCTGGGGTCCCTGCCGCGGCTCTGGGTGGGGACGACTCACACCCCCAGGGACATCCCCCAGGGCAGACGAGGGATCTCCTCTAGAAACCGCTCCAAGAGGGGGTTCAGGGCCCTCTGCCTCCCACCAGTCGCCACCCCCTTTCTGGACACAGAAGCTGAGGTGCTGCAGGTGGGGAGCTCCCCCAGGGCAGGGCAGGGAGGGTGTGGAGGTGGCCCTCGGACCGGACGGCACGCCCCAAGTCCAGAGACACCCTCTGCCCCCATGGGCTGTGGTGGCCTGGCCACAGGGCTGGACGGGAACAAGAAGGGGCCGCAGCCCCGTCCCCCGAGACCAGCCCTGGGCGGGCCCCCCCGGGGCAGGTACGCACTGGTGATCCCGAGGATCTGCTCACTGGTGATCCCGAAGGTCAGCAGCGGCTGGGGAAGCTCTCGCAGGAAGGTCTTCAGGATCACGGCAGGGACACGGACGTCCCCATAGTCGTCAAAGTTCACGGGTTTCCCTGGACACAGAACGCCGTGTGTCTGAGTTCAATGGGGCTGTGGGGTCCCGCTGCGTGACGGGCTCCGACGCAAACAGCCCCAGAACTCCTGAGGGGGAGACCTTCCGCCAGGCGTGACCCTGTCACCCGCTGGACCCAGGGCGCGGCGAGCGCCCTCCTTGGCTCTGCGGGACGCCTGGCCGCATGTGGGGCGCTACCTGTCCCCCCGCCATGCAGTTCGGTCCCACCTTGGAGCGGGTGCTCGGCGCACGGTCCTGGGGGACCAGCCCACAGCGCCCCGCACCGTGCCCGACGCGGCCTCCCTACCTGCGGCTCCCCCACGGGCCACGAGAGAGCGGGGCTGGGCCCGCTGGAGGCGCTGCCGAACGGGGGCTCCGTGGAGCAGCCCCCAGCTCTCAGAGCACCCGTCTGCCTGGAAGGAGACGAGAAGCCCTCGAGGCTGAAGGGCAGTGCGCGGCCACCTGCCGGGCCCGGGCTCCGGGCGCAGGCCTCGCCTGGGCGGCTGCTGGCCCTGGGCTATGGCGGGGGTCGGGGGCTGCGGGAGCCACACTCCCTGGGCCTGGGGGCTGCGCAGGCCGGGCAGGCGGGAGGCTCAGGGCGAGGGGTCCCTGTGGGGGACTCACCTTGATTGTACAGCCGCTGAATCTTGTGATCTTGTGGACGGCGTGGACGCTGGCCGATCTCCGGAACAGGCCCTCAGTGCGGAGTCCTAAGGAGAGACAGAGCCTCCAGGCACCTCACAAGTCTAGCACATGGGGATTCTGGAACATTCCATGACATTCTGATCCTGCCCTGCATCACCCTCCTGTGGCTGGCAGGGAAGGCTCCTCAGCTTGGTTCATCCCCCCCCCCCCCCCCCCCCCGCCCCATGGAGATTATCTTTGGTGGGCCTCACCTAATCAGGCAAGATTTTTTTAAAGGGACAGGGTTCTTCCTGGCTACAAAGATTTGGATCCTGGAGGTCAGCCTCGACATCTGTGGAGGGGGCCACATGGAAGGAACCTCCAGAGCAGAGGCTGGGTGGTGCCGTTACCATGGCAACCCCAGGGCCTCGGTCAGGGCTGGATACAGGAAGGTGCCCCGGGAGGACATGTTTTATCATGCATTCACTCAACAAATATATACTGAGTTCCTGCTTGGAGCTGGGTTTTTTGTTTTATTTTTCCATACAGAAGGGCGCAGGTATGTTAACAGGTGAGCGGCTCCCCCTCACGGTCCTGACACCTGGTCTCACACACTATCCGCCGTCTGCCCTTGAAATGCGGTAGCAGACTGGACGGTGCCATCAGTGACTTGTTGCGAAAGTAGAGACCGTTCCAAACGACAATCAGATCCTCCAGCTGGAGAGGCGCCGCCTCATGGAATCTTCTAGGGTTAGGACATGGAGCTCCGAGGGCGCGCCAGGTAACAGGCCCCCGGAACCCAGCAATGACGATCCCCACTTCTCACCTGCCGCACGCCCACCCCCACCCTGCAGACGGGGTGCGCTCCTATCAGGGCGGAAGCAGCCTCCAGGCCTCCACCCTTTCTCCATGGAGCTGGGTGCTCTGGCCTCAGGCCAGAGTCCTGGAGGGGTCGCAGGCGCACCCCCTCTAATCACTGAGCGCGCCCAGCCCTCTGGTGAGGCACCTGCAGACCAAGCTGTCACATCAAAGGGACCCCTTCATGGAGAGCTTTACACATAGCATCTCACTTAGGCCCCAAAGCAACCCCGTGAATCAGGCCCTGTCACTAACCCCATGGGAGGCCCAGAGAAGGTAAGTAACGGCCCAGGGTCACACAGCAAGTACACAGTGGAGCCAGGCTGCAAAGCCGGCCATTCTGTGTACCTGAGCCCATCGCGTGCTGGCCACCCTCCCCGCACGAGGTCCAGCCCCTCCAACTCCCTGCTCGGCACAGCGCCCAGGACAGGAGACGGGCCTCCCAGAGGCCCCCACGCCCCTGGCTGAAGCCCGCTCGCACTTACCCTTCTCGCTCAGGTACGCCACTGTGAATCTCAGCACGGGAGGGATGAGTTCACCTTGATTTTTGTCCTTGAGGCTGAGGGGAAGGAAGGGAAGCAGCAGTTTTCGCCTGGGTGTAAGAGGTCCTCTCCGCACCTCGGTGTAAACACAGGCCCGACGGGCCGCACGGGGACAGGGGCAGATTCGGTGCTGAGAGCAGGTGCCCTGGCGGCCAGAAGAGGGGCAGAAACCGGGCAGGAGCGGAGGGCTCCACACGACACGAGGAGACCCGGGGACTGCGCCTGGCTCCACGGGGGGCGCCGTCGGAGCCAGGCGCTGAGGCATGAGCCGGAGCGGGGGGAGGCCCAGGGGACCCCGACCGTGCGCTCGCCAATCCGACAACCAGCCGGATGAAAACCTCACGCGTGGCCTCACGCTGCCGAGACCCATCCTCTTACTGTGTTTGTTTGATGGAAATCGGACACACAAGGCAACTTTAAAACACACGCGCAAATGTAAACAGAATGGTGCACACGCGCGCGCACACCCCACACAGCCGGCAGCGTCAGGATCTGAGGTCGGGGCTGCCTGCGCGAGCCCCCGCGCGAAATGTGTGTCTTCCTCCTTCCTCACGTGCTGACGCTCCCGCCCGCAAGGCCGACACCCGGGAGCCCGTGCGATGGGGGGACGCGCCCGCTGGAGCCCCTCTCTGCTCTCGAAACGTCCGTTAGGTTAGCCTAGACGGCTGTGCTGTTCAAGTTTTCTAGACTGATCTCCTGCCGTTCCACCCCTCGCTGAGAGAAGGACACTGACGTCACCTCTCGGAGCTCTGTGTCTGCTTCTCCCCTGGTCTTACCACCGCGTATCTCAAAGCTCTGTTACTCGTCCATGACTCTGTAGGATTACGTCTTCTTTATTATTACGAAACGCCCCTCTCTGTCCCGGGGGGTTATTTTGTGTCCTACTTCGCCTGATATTAGTACAGCCACTCCAGTTTTCTTTTGGTTGGTGGCTGCATGGCAGATCTTTTTCTACCCTTTTACTTTTATAGGGTTTTATCATTTCATAGTTTAAACATCAGCAAGCGCTTCCTTTTATTAAATCGAAACTGAGAATCTCTTTTAACTGGGATGTTTATGCCGCTTACATTTAAAAAATTTTTTTTAATGTTTTATTTATTTCTGAGAGAGAGAGACAGAGAGAGAGAGGGACAGCGTGGACAGGGGAGGGTCAGAGAGAGAGGGAGACACAGAATCTGAAGCAGCTCCAGGCCCTGAGCTGTCAGCACAGAGCCCGACATAGGGCTTGAATCCACGAACCGTGAGATCATGACCTGAGCCAATGAGATCATGAGTCGTTTAATCGACTGAGTCACCCAGGTGCCCCGAGAGGAGTTTCTTTTTACCTTTTTTTAAGTTTATTTATTTTTCAGAGAGAGAGAGAGAGAGAGTGTGAGCGAGCGAGAGCACAAGCAGGGGAGAGGCAGAGGGAAAGAGAGTCCCAAGCAGGCTCTGCACTGTCAGCACAGAGCCTGACACAGGGCTCAAACCCAGGAACCGCGAGATCATGACCTGAGCCGAAACCAAGAGTCGGATGCTTAACTGACCGAGCCCCCACCCGGTGCCCCGAGAGAGGAGTCTCTGTCCGCGCCCCGAGCTGGCCACGGGGTGGGGGTGGGGGAGCAGATGCAAAGTCAGCGCTCTGTCCCCAATTCCTACGGATACGTGTGCGTAGCAACAGCGCCGCTGTCACCAAAATGCTCGCAGCCGTGCAGCCGCCGCAGGCGCTTCCGTCCTAACAGAGCACAGGCTGGAGGCAGCAAGGGCCGCGGGAGTGGCCCCCGGCCTGCAGAGCCTCGCTGGAGCTGGACTCCACGCGCGAGAACCGACTCGGACAACCTCCGGCTGTTTCCTTCCTCCTCCGCCCGGGAGCCCTCCCAGGTGCGCCGACTCCCCGCTGCTTGGTCGGCTCTGGGGTTCCACGGCTGAGCGGAAGGAGCCGCAGAGGTGCGGGCAGGGGGACACCCGCTCCTCCCGCGGGTCTGGAAGCCCCTCAGGCCCTCCACGCCTCTCCTCTCCCACCTGCCCCCACTGTGCGCGCAGGACGGAGAGCACAGGCGAAGGAGACGCCGCCAGGGACTGTTTTCATAAGAGTGTACGGGCGTCACCGTTGGCGCCTCTTTCTCCCCCTCTCATCTGACTTAAAAGGCCACGGCGTAGAGCAAGAATTACGAATCTGCGCTAGTGGGCAAATCAAGACCTAGTTTGTGTGACAAGAACAGCACGGAGGGGAGAAGGGACAGGGCACAGCTGTGTACGGCACAAGCAGCAACTACCATGAAGGAAGCTGTGATCCCTGCTCCCAAGACACAAACTATCAAAGTGACTCAGGAAGAAACAGAAGATCTGAAAAGATGAGGGGCGCCTGGGTGGCTCAGTCGGTTAAACGCCCGACTTCGGCTCAGGTCATGATCTCACGGTTCGTGGGTTCGAGCCCCGCGTCGGGCTCTGTGCTGGCAGCTCAGAGCCTGGAGCCTGTTTCAGATTCTGTGACTCCCTCTCTCTCTGCCCCTCCCCTGCTCATGCTGTCTCTCTATCTCGCTCAGAAATAAATCACGCTCTCTCTCTCTCAGAAATAAATTAAAAAAAAAAAGGTCTGAAAAGACGTAACAAATAAAGACATTGAATTAGTCATTTTAAATCTTCCCGCCAAGAAAAGCTCGAGACAGAGGGCTTCGCGGTGAGTCCTGCATGTTATGGAAAGATTCCCTCTGACTCTGCACAAACTCTTCCAAAACACAGACGGGCCGTGAAGCCAGATGTCGCACCTGAGGTGACCGCAGAGCAGCAGTTGTTACGAATACAGACACCAAATCACCCACAAAATACCAGCAAAGCAAACCCAGCTCCACAGGAGAAGATTATCGCCACGAACACGTGTGACTTGTCCCAAGGATACAAAGTTCATTCAACATAAAAATCAACCAGCGTAATCATCATATTCTTAGAATAAAGAACCAAACCCATGTCATCGTCTCAATAAGGGCAAAAAAAGCACACGATCAAATCTTCACATCCCTTCATGGGAAAAAACAAAACACAAAACACAGAAAACAAAACAAAACACCACCACTGAACGAGGTAGGAACGGAAAGGCTTTTCCTCCACGTCTATGAAAAACCCACAGCTAATTTCATACTTAATGGGGGAAAATGAGGCCACTTCCCGGTAAGACGGGGAAAAGACCGGATGTGTGCTCACCGGCTCCTTCCCGTCACCGGAGGCCCGGCTGGCGCAATCGGGCAGGAAAAGGAAGCAAAAGGCATCCAGGATGCAAGGGAAGAAGTAAAAGTATCTCTGTTTACAGACGACAAGGTGTTGAATGTAGAAGATACGAAACAGAAGTTCACTAAGCATCCGGAAGAACTAAGAAGTGATGTTAGGCAGGCGGGAGGAAGTAAGACAGGCGTACAAAAATCACCTGTGTTTCTATGTGCTCGAGTGAGTCCAAAACACGCAGTCACAAAACAGTTCCTTTCACAAGAGCACCGCACAGAGCGAAATACTCCAACAAGTACATTTAACACAAAAGCGCAAACACAGAGACGGGGAGCTGTAAACGTCACGGAGAGAAACCTAAGGGCCCGGGTGGATGGAAACGCGCCCTGTGTCCGTAAACCGGGAGCGGTGGTACTGGTAAGACAGTGGCCCCCAAACCAACCTTGGGAGACCGCACGGTCCCCACCGGGACCCCAGCCGCCTCCGTACAGAAATGGGCCAGCTGATTCTAAAATCAGTACGGACACACAAGAGGCCCAAAAGAAGTCAAAACAATCTTGAAAAAGAACAGACCTGAGGGCCGCACTTTCTCCAATTTCAAAACTTACTACAAAGCTACGGTAACAGAGAGCATGGCCCCAACACGGGCGGACGGAACGGAATCAAGGGTCCAGAAATACACACTCACGGGTGTGGGTGATTAGTTTTCGACAAGGGTGCCGAGGCAATTCAGTGGGGAAAAAGGAAGGGTCTCTTGGACAAATGGTCCTTGTGTGTGTGGAGTTGCTGGGGAAGGCTTCCTGGAGGCGGTGACTACGAAGGGGAACTCAGAGCAGGCAAGCCTGGCAGCACCCTGTCCTTAAGCTCCCCGGGGTCCTGGAGGTGGGGAGGGCACAGTTTCAACTCCAGTCAAGGGGAAGAAACTGGGGTTGGTTAAGCTACCAGTGTGACTCCCAAAGCTGGGACCCACACCCCTCTCTGCCCCGAGGCCCTCCCTCTTTCCACGGCCCCACATCTGCCCGGGTAGAGCCGTCCTAGACGCACACGTGCGTTTCCTCTCCTCAGCGAAGGCGAGGGGCACAGATCTCTCGGATCTCTGACTTCCCCCTTAATATATTAACTTAATTAGCTCGTTCTAAGGTGATAGCTTTCTGTCGTGCGCTTCTGAACTTAACTCAGCAAATTAACATTTGTGAATAGGATTTGGTTATGAATTTTAATGACTTTCATTCATTCACAGTCCAAACAAATTACTATTTGGTACTCTATTTAATATGTTTATTGCCATTTTATTGTAATCATTTGCAATGAAACAGCATAAAATATAATTTAAGGGGGCGACCGCATGGATTATCTCTCAAAGTGGCACACACGGAGTTTTTCAAAGATTGTCCAACGAGACTCGTCATTCCCTAAGGACACGAGGAACGGGGGTGCCTGGCGGGCTGTCGGTAGAGCACAGGGTTGTGAGATCTTGGCTTATGAGTTCAAACTCCAAGTTGGGCATTAAAACAATATGCTGAACTGATCTTTACAGTTAAAACTGGCCCCAGAACAGGAATGAACCAAGATTTTTTATAAAAGGCACTGCTGATACCCGTCTTTGATCCGGTAACGAACGGCTCTGGAGTTCAAACTCTCTGTCCACACATACCCCCGAAAGGCACCTGCTCCAGTCGGGAGAGTCGTCCCAGGAGCACTCCCCCAAACTGTACTCAGGTGGATGACTCTAGAAATCCCTGAGTTAGAGCTGTTTTGTTTCTCGTTTTTAAAGCTTTACTAGGCGGGGTGCCTGGGTCACTCAGTTAAGCGTCCAACTCTGGTTTACATTCAGATCATGATCTCGAGGTCTGTGAGTTCGAGACCCCCCTCGGGCTCTGCACAGAGCTGGCTTGGGATTCTCTCTCTCTCTCTCCCTGCCCCTCCCCCACTCAGGCATGCACGCACGCACTCTCTCTGTCAAAATAAACCAACATTAAAAAATATTTTACACCAGTTAAAATCAAATAAAGTTAGAAACTCAGTGCCTTAACTACACTAGCCACATTTCAAGTGCTCAACAGCCACAGCCGGGCAGTGCAGACTGTGTCTATCGCTGCAGAAGGTTCTGGAAGACAGGCCTCCCTTTAGCAGTGGTGACATACCCCAGGGGCCCACTCCCACCTCCTTATGAGCACGCCAGCCCCGCCCTCAGCTCCTTCTCCCAGGCCCCTCACAGGTACCTCCTCCCCCCAGGCCTCTCCCGGCCCCACACTCGTTTCCTGTGCCTGCTGTAAACTAATCACCACAAACTCAGTGGTTTAAAACCACAGAAGCTCTAGGGGCACCTGGGTGGCTCAGTCTGTTAAGCATCCGACTTAAGCTCAGGTCATGATCTCACAGTTCGTGGGTTCGAGCCCCGCGTCGGGCTCTGTGCTGACAGCTCAGAGCCTGGAGCTGCTTCAGATTCTGTGTTTCTCTCTCTCTGACCCTCCCCTGCTCACGCTGTCTCTCTCTCAGAAAACATTTGAAACAAAGACACAAAAGCTCAAACGGTCGGGCTGTGTGTTCGCAGTGGCTCTAAGAGACAGTCGGTCCGTCTTTCCCAGCTCCCAGGGGCTGCCTGCCCCCTGGCGCGTGGCCCCACGTCACGCCAACCTCTGCTCCATCCTCACGCCTACTTCTCTGACTCAGACCCTCGTGAGGACACCGGGGCCACCTGCACAATCCGGGCCCATTGCGTCCCCGCCCCAAGACCCTTCACTGACTCACATCTGCAAAGTCTCTTTCACCACATGAGGTGACAGTGTCACAGGCCCCAGAGATCAGGACACTGCCGTCCCCCGGAGCCATTATTCTTCCCCGCACCCTGCCCCCTGCCCCCCGCCTCACTCTAGGCCAAGAAGAAAGAGGGCCCCCCATCTGCCTGCCCTGTGGCCCCAGAGCCCCTAAGGGAGGAGATGAAGGGTCCCCCCACCCAGACGCCTGGAGAGACAAGTGACAGGCACGAGGTGGCAGGCAGGTGCCCCCAGCGCCCCCCCCCCCCACCGGGACACCATCCGGAGAGTCGATTCTCAACCTTCCAAACAGTGTCACGTCCCGTCGTGGATCCCAAAGGGCATCAGGCTTCTGTGCAGGACGGGGCGCAGGGGAGCTTCCGGCAGGGCCCGCCCCCACCCTGCAGACCTGGTTTTCCCACACGTGGTGCAGAGCGGACCCGACGGCCCCGCGTGGCTGCCCGATAAAACCTGTCCTTCGTCCTCCGTCGTCCCTGGTACCCCCGTGCCGGGCGGCACACGAGCGCGGACACGGCGCCCGCTGCCAAGCGGGTCAACGCCTCAGAGGCTCCCCATGGCGGCCCACTGGGTGGGCCGGTGATGCAGGAGGGCCCCGTATACAGCCTAAGCATCAGGGAAGGCTTCCCGGAGGAGGTGCCACCGAATGAGCCTCAAAAGAGACGAAGTTGGCCCGGAACCCTTTAGGAAGACGCCAGAGGCTCAGTTCCCGCCGGACACCTGATTCGCTCCAGAAACAGGTAAACAGCTGGAGACGCGGAGTTCCAGGTCACGTCCTAAGAAGGGCGAGGTCAACCAGGAAGGACAGGACATGCTGTGACACCAAGAGTCCCTGATCGGCCGCACCCAACGGAGTTCCTTTCTGACTCCAGTGCGCGCGGGCGTCGGCGGGAGGCACACCGCGGTCCCTCGGGCTGCCGCCTCCACCCGGCTGCCGCCACCACGCAAACCGCGAAGTGGCTCCCAAACTCCCTCCTGATGTGACCTGCCCCATGGTGCCTCCGCCTGGGGGCTGGGAGCAGCCCTGAGCAGCGGTGACGAGGGCTCTGCGTGCCACCGGGTCCCCGCGCAGGGAAGCCTTCCCCCCCACACACACCCTGGAGCGAAAAGACGTGTTCTGGGTTCTCTGCAGGGAAGCTGGGCTGCGGAAGGCAAAGGTCTGGGGACGACCCCCCTGGGGCACGAGTGTCCCACGGCCCCACGGAGGAAACGGGCGGGCGGCGTCCCGCCTCACTTACTACTGCAGACTGACGCCAAACTGCTGGGTGGGCAGAGGGGGCCGCGGCGGCGGCGTCTTGGCGGGAGGGGGGACCCTGCCCTGGTGCGCGTTCCGGAGCTTCCCGTCATGCCTGCGGACACAGCAGAAGCGCGGCTGTCACCTTGCGGGGGGCGAGCCTCGGGCCGCGGGGCTGGGCGCCGTGAACGTCTGTGGGACACCCGAGCCTCGCGCTTCTGGGCCCATGTGCCCTACCACCGTCTCACACGTGCACATGCGCGTGACACACGCACACACAGCCGCCCGCTGTCCTGAGCGTTCATCTAACCCCAGCAAATGCCCAACCTCTCCTGCCAGCCCCTGGCCAACATTTCACCCACCTCCACTGGACGCAGCCTTTCCCGGCCTCTCTGCCCAACCAGCTGTCGCCTGGAGACTCACTTCGGGCGTCCCCTCCCCCGGAGGCTTTCTCTGACGGGCCCCTCCCTAGCTGGTGTCACGGGCCTGTGGCTCCCGCCATGTGAGCACCCCGTGGGCAGGGCCACGCTGCCCTGTGTGCCCTGCTTCCAGCGTATGACCTGGCGCCTGGAAGAACTAACCTCACCCCTGCCCCCGTGAGGCCGCCGACCCCGCTGCAGCTTGGCGAGGCCCCTGCGTCCCAGCGAGGCCCCAGAGTGGGGGCTGCAGAGGGTGCCGGGCAGGGGCTTGGAGACCAGCCCCTTGTGCCGGCTGTGGGGCCAACCGACCACACGCCTTCCTCTGCCCCCGCCCCTGAGCCCACGGGAGAGACCACGGAGCGGGGATCCCCACTGCCACGGAAAAAAGCGAGCACTAACCGCCTTCCGCAGCAGCCAAGCGTGGGCTGCTTTCCAGAGCCCCTGCCACGGGCCTCGGACCGTTTCATTCCGTACGGTGTCCTCGCACGCGGCCACGGAATTCCCCCAATTCTCTGCTCGAAAGCAAGCCCGGTAAGTAGGGCGGCGAGCAGTAGCTATCATCGTGGCTTATTTCTTAAAATTGGCCTACGATGGCGGAGGAGGGTAATCTCTCGCCTCGCGAAGGGCCCTCGGCGGCCTCGTCTGACTCCGCGGCCGGCACCTCTGTTGACGCCGCAACTTCTGGGCCAGATCTGCGGGGCCCACGTTTGGAAACGACGCCTTCCAGGCCACCGGGACTGGACGGAGGCCCGTGGAACCATGGAGGTGTTCTCTCCCGGCTGTCGGAACACGGTCGGACTCACCGCAGAACCTCTGTGGGGGACGATCGGCTGGTCATATTTGAGGTGTTCGCGGAGCTCACTCAAGTAGTTGAAATAGGTGACTTTTTTCCCCAAACTTATGACTGGAAGAGCAGAAGCAAGAGAATGAGAAACGATTAGGTGGCACCAAAGACGCCCGGGGCCCGGGGGAGGGGTGGCGGCCGCGGAGGCAGAACAATGCAGGCGTTTCCCACATTGAGTCAAGGGTAAGTGCTGACACCAGTGAAAGCCCGGACATCACAGACGCAGCGCACGTCTGCAGAGGTTTTGCGTTCATAAGATCTCGGATGCACCAAACACTCTCCAGAGTCTCATCTGCATGAAAATAAATAGTTGCCTGCAATTTGAATCTGTAGTGAATGTGCACAGACCCTGGAGATGCAGGGAGGGGCCCGGGGGGCCTGCGGCCCGGGCTCGGCTGGGGCTCCCCGTTTGGGCACCCCTTCTCTCTTCGAGGGTCCCCGTGGGGGCAGGGACCAAACGAGACACTGGTTTCTCTCCAGGATGGTGGCACTCAGGTGGCCACCCTGGAACGAGCATCAGGGAGACGAGCCCCGACCAGAGCCACCCACTCTCCCTCTGCTCAGTCCCCCCAACATCTCCCTCAGAGGCGGGTGAGCCAGGTGACCGTCCACCGGCCGACGCCTGATCGGCACCACCACCTGGCTGCCGTTACTGACGTGCCCACTTCCTGAGCTGCGAGGCGGGCGCAGAGCAGGACCTGGTGGCCGGGAAGCCAAATGCTCGCCCAGCGCCTGCCCCTGGCAGCGGGCACCACAGGTCCCCATTGCTGCAGCTCTACTGGACACTGGATGGTTCCACATACACACCGCGGGAGGCGCGGGCACCGGCATACACACCGCGGGAGGCGCGGGCACCGGCATACAGCGCGACGCCATCGCCACGATCGAGGGAACGAGCACCTCCATCGTCTACAGTGTCGTCCTGGGCGGCCTTCGCTTTGCGTGTGCGGTTAGAACACTTGGCAGGAGGGCGCCCTCCTAACACACTTCCAAGTGCAGGACAGCGTGCTGCCCATCGCAGGCTCCACGCAGCCGCCCGGCCGCCAGCAAACCTCCAGAACCTCCTTCCCTTCTGCCACCGGGGCTGAGCTCTTCTACCACAGGCGGGGACGCAGCCCAGAGCCCGCGGGAGGCCGAGCCACGGGCACTGGCTCCCCCTGGTGGACGAGCGGGACTCAGACCAGGTGCCCAGACCCCCAGCCACCTGCCCCGAGGGGCAGAGGGGGCCTGACCTCCCATGAACTGCCCGTAGGTGGGGGGACAGAGATGTCAGCTCCTGAGCTGCAGGGAGGCCTCTGGGGCCAACCCACTGCCCGTGCAAGAGCGCCCCCCAATTTCTGCTCTGTGTTTCTGCCTGACCCCCTCTAGCTGGCCAGGCGTTTGCCGGTCCCCAGGCTCTGAAGGGCAGATGCAGGCAGATGCTTCCTGTCTCTCACTCGGAAAGACCCCAGGGCGGTCCATGCAGGGGACTGCAATCACCAGGCCCCGCCTCCAGAGGTCTGGGTCAGGACGTGAGGGGCTGGGCCGGGGACACTCCTGTTACGGGGCTCGGGAGCCTCTGGACCCGTCCTCTTCATTTTCAGATGAATATTCCAAGGCTCAGAGAGGTCACACTGTTAAGAGGAGGCAGAGCCCAGTCCCGGCTCCGGGGTCTCCGACCCTCACTCCTGCGGTTCCGGCGCCTGTGCAGGTCCACGTCTGAGGCAGGACGAGGGGCAGAGCCACACAGGCTTGAGCCGGAATCCCAGCTGGGCCATTACGCACTGTGCGACCTCAAGCAAGCTGCTTAACCTCTCTGAGCATCAACCTCCTCTCCCCTGGAAGAAGGAAAACACAGCTGACTTCATAGGATTGTTTTGAGGTGCTATGCACACAAGGTGCGTGAGAAATTGTAATTAATCACAAAAGGATAAGAAAGTTTTTTAAAAAACGATGCTAGCAGCAAACACCCGGCATCTGCTGGCGCCAGGCAGGCCTGTTCCACACTCTGCACAGATGCCAGCACACTGTTCCAACAACAGGACTGTAAGGCGGCACAGCCTGTCTCCTGGGGAAACTAAGGCAGAGGGAGGCTGCATGCCTGGCTCAAAGTGGCGCACGATCAGAGGGCAAAGTCAGGCCTGAGCTCCAGAACCAATGCCGCCTCTGGGCTGCTGCACTACAGATGGGGAGGGTTTTCCCAAGAACAGGAGAGGTTTCTAGAACTCTCAGAGCTTTTCTAAGGTGAGTGGCAGCACCCAGGGGCTGGAGAGCACCCGAGCGGTCTTCCTGGGCACTAGGGTAACGGGCACTGGCTTTCTCCCCACGTCAGGCACGGAACCAACGTGCTGGTCTCGGCTAAACAACGGAAGAGACGAACGAAACCCGGCCCCGCCGTCCCCACAGCCACGGCTGCATCTGCGGCTGCAGCACAGGTGGGAACACGGCGTGGGGACCCTCTAAGACGAAAGGAACTCTGGCCACGGAAGTCTCTGCCCACATTAAACGGGAGCACACTCAAGTCTGCCGTCGCAGGGGAGGCTGCAGACCCGGGGACCGTGCCACGCTCTCTGGAATGAGGGCTGGTCTGGGGTTTGGGGGTCCTCGTAGCGAATCACGAAACCTGACGTGGTATTGGGGACCCCCAATGCGGGTAACTAAAGTAGGGGCTCAGGCCAGGACGAGATTTAAAATACCAGGTGCGGGGGCGCCTGGGGGGCTCAGTCGGTTGAGCGTCCGACTTCGGCTCAGGTCATGATCGCGCGGTTCGTGAGTTCGAGCCCCGCGTCGGGCTCTGTGCTGACAGCTCAGAGCCTGGAGCCTGTTTCGGATTCTGTGTCTGCCTCTCTCTCTCTGCCCCTCCCCCGCTCGTGCTCTGTTTCTCTCTCAAAAATTAAACATTAAAAAAACCAAAAGTAATAAAATAATAAAATACGAGGGACATAGCTCACAGGTGTCGTGAGCTGGCGTCCTATGCATGACCATCAGCCCTTGTGAGTCATGACAGCTGCGGGGGAGGGGGGCAGAGTACCCCCAACACGGGGGCCCCAGGGATGAGGCCACAGTGCTACACAGGGAGGGCCGTCCCCCGGCCCCTGTGAGGTCCTCGCCGAGAGCCCCACGTACCTGATGAGGGGTTTGAAGATGGTCCACAGGACTCTGATGAAGTTGGTGGGGTGCACGATGTACAGCGCCTTCAAGTTCTTTTTGTACCTGCGGCGGGAGCAGGAGAGGACTTCAGAACAACACACCCCACACCCGAGGCTGAGTACCCGCAAAGCCCTGACTCTGACCCTGAGCCTCAGAACCTTCGTGCCCTTGACAGAGCCGACGCTGACCCAAAAGCAGAGAGGGAAGATCAGGACCCTCGTCCACCGGCACCCCGACATGCCTGCGGCCCTTCCCAGTTTGCAAGAGCAGGGCCCCGCTTATGGGCGCTGGCCCATGGGGGAGCCGGGCCGCACTCGGCGGTTCACCAGGGCAGGCGGCTGAGTGAGCCCCAGCGCGCCCACCGACGGGGGACCGGGCGCCCACTTAAAAAGTGAGGTGCTACTTAGCCTGCGTGCTCCCCTCATTCCAGAATAACTCAGTCCAAAGCCACGAGGCTGAGCCAAGGAGGCTGGCACCGCCGGGGAGGCCGTGGCCGTGGCGCTGAGGAGAGGAGGGGCGTCCACGAGGAGCCAGCGTGCGGTCAGCCGGGGGGACGCTAGCCGGCTCTCACCCGCTCACAAGAGCCGACTCATTGTCAGGACTGCAGGGATTTGGGGAGCCACTTGTAAAAAGCAGCCACTGTTAAATAATATAAACACGTAAAGAAGTAAATCATACTAAACGCCCAGGTAATAAATACTCAAAGCTCGCCACTTCTGAGTTATTTTACTACGCGTACTCTCGCCTGTGCCCCTGGGGCTCATCTGTGTATCTGAGTAACAGGAGCCCACAGGAGGTGTCCCCCGACTCCGTGTCCAGGGGCAGCGTGCTGGTAGCTTGACGCTGGCCGTTGGGGGGGGGTGGCGATCACATGCCACAAGCCCGAGGGCTGGTTATCACGCATGGAGCAGGGTGCTGACCCCGGGGGGCAGGAGGCCGGGAGGGGGTGCTGGAGCCGGCAGGGGTGTGTGCACAGGGCGTCCTCATTGGGGGGGGGAGGGGAAGGCGGTGTGCAGGGGTGGGGTGGCCCAATCAGGGGCCTGTGAGGGAGATCGCCAGATGCTGGGTGACGGAGGGGGCACGTCAGTGAGGGGGCGCGAGCGGCATCTCTGGGCCAGAGGGGAGGGCTGCGGACTCAGAGAAACCGGAGTGTGCCCGGGTCGCGGGGCAGGACCAGCCGCGAGCGTCGGTGTGAGCGACACCCCGATGGTCCCTGCAGAGCGCCTGGGAGCCGGTCACCCCAAGGACAACGAGCACCCCACCCCCACACCCCGGCTCCGAGGGGAACGCAGAACCCCGTGCGGGGTGAGAAGCAAGGAGGGGCGCCTGGAGCACTGCCCTGTGCCGGGGGGCGGGGGGCACTCGGCGTAAGGGGACGGGTCTGAGGGTCACAGGAGCCAGGCTGGAAGGGCGCCCACTTGGCCAGATTTGAATTTGAACATTAAATACAGTCGTGGATTATAACCCATTGAATCAAACAGGAAGTCACAAGTCCGTATCGATACAAACGAGCCAGAAAGGTTAAGCTCTTCCTTACGGTAAATTGTCAAAAGTCCCAGTCACCGCTCGGCCACCATCACGGCAACCACTGGGCCAAAAACAGCAATGGACACAAAACCTGCCACATGACACTTCCATGGGGAGCAAGATATCCAGGGTCTCAAAGTATCTCCCAAGGAAATACTAACTAATGACAAAAAGAACAATAACTAACGCAGAGCGGGGGAGGAGCGGTGACTTGTGGGCGGCCCGGCGGCCCAGAGCGCAGGGGCCACCGAGTCCCTCCTTACGTGGAGGTGGCTTCCAGAAGGGGGTCACGGCACATGTGTGGGGACTCGTGCTCCCTTGAAAGGAGTGACCTGGAGAACTGTCTGGAGAGTCAGGAGCCGACGGCCGAGAGAGAAGCTGAGGAGGCCGCCGGGGCGTGGTGACGGCGGACAGGAAACCCTTGCCGTGTACATGTCACCGATTTGAATCTGGAGCTCCACTTGCATACCTCTGGTGATGGGGAACTCACTATCCCAGCAGACACTGCACTGCTGGTCTTGATGCCTACAATGTCCATCTTTTTTGGTTCTGTCGAGCCAAGATCTGTAATCCCGCCCCCACCTCCTGATCGACCTTCGAGGGACGTATGGAGCCACACAGAACAAGGTGCCTCCTTCCACTTGACAATTTACCTGTATCGGCCCAGCACAGGCCCCACGTGCATCTCCTCCTGTCAGCCGGCGCTTCTAGAAAGGGCCACTCTGAACACGCCATTGGTTTCTCCAGAAGCACCTTCCATGGCTCCCACTGCTTCCTGAACCAAGTCTGGCATCCTTGACACACACTCCCCCGACCCTTCGCCACCTCCCTCCGCGGTTCCCCAGGTGAACCCCCCCCCCCCCGTCCGTCTCGCCCACCGCGGAGCCTCAGCCCACCGGACTCTCTCCTGGGTCTGCCGCCCAGCAATGCCCCACCCGTCCCTCCCGGGGCTGCTCAAAGGCCGCCTCCTCCGCCTGGCCGCTCTGACTGCCCCAGCTGGAGGCTGGCGCTCACCGCCGGCCCCACCTGGCTCCTCCGTCTCCGCACCCGACACCGACTGCGGGCCGCCGCGTGCAGACCCTTCCCATCCCTGGGACACGGACGCGGGCCAGGGCGTTGCGGCCAGGCGCGGTGGGCGTGTGTGGGGGAGGGCGGGCACAACCACACTGCCCTGCAGATGCACGCCTGCTCAGGGACCTTGGGGCCGCTGATGCTTCAGGGACAACCCAGGAAAGCTTCCTTGGGGAGGGGCCCGAGCTGGGGCCCGCCTGCCTCTCCCCTGCATGGCCTGGCACGTACAGTGTCAGATAAACGGGTGCACGGTGCAGCAGCCGTCCCTTCCCTCAGGCCCAGGCCCAACAGTGCAGCCCGCTAGCCTCCCTGCAAACCTGATCGTCCCACAGGACGTCGCTCAGGGAAAATATCCCCCGGCGCCAAGCCGCTCCCAAGGGGTGCGGGGCACGGGTGGGGATAGGGAGCTGGGTCTCGGGGGGCCCCAGCGCTGCCACACAACGGGTGAGGGAGGGGGCTGGGACACCTGCTCTCTGGGGCCTGAGTGCCCTCACCCGTAAGACACGCAGGCACCAGAGAGGCCCCTGCAGACGTCACAAAGGGCATCCGGAGGACAGTGCCTGCCGGTGCTTCTCGCCCACGCGCCGTAGACAGGGGTCAGCAACCTGGGCTACGCGCCACCCCAGCCACCCGCCTGTGCGCAGCCCTGCAAGCTATGAGGCTACGTTGTTACTGGTTGGGAAAAAAAAGATTAAACAGGTAACAAACAGTTCGGGATATGTGAAAACCACGGGCGCCTGGGGGGCCTCTGTCGGTAAGGCGTCGGACTTCGGCTCAGATCATGATCTCGCGGTTTCGGAGTTCGAGCCCTGCGTCGGGCTCTGTGCTGACAGCTCAGAGCCTGTAGCCTGCTTAGGATTCTGTGTCTCCCTCTCTCCCTGCCCCTCCCCTGCTTACTCTCTGTCTCTCTCTCAAAAATAAACATTAAAAAAAAATTAAAAGAAAAAACAGAAAATGACCCGCAGTTCATAAACAGAGTTTCACCAGAGCGGAGCCCTTCCCCCCTGTTCTGACTTACCTGCGGCTGCTCTGGGGCCACACGGCAGACCTGAGTGGCTGCAGCAGAAGTCTGACGGCCCAAGAAGCTGCAGTATGGACTGTCTGGCCGCCCCTGCCCTAAATGACAGCTCTGGACACAGGCCCTGCCCTGAGGGGAGGTGACCCCGGCTCCTTCGGCCTAGCTCCCCGCCCCCTGCCGCACGGCCGTGACCCCTCGCATCACCCGGGCCTCCCCGGGTGGGACAGGAAGGGGGGTCACGGAAGGGGGTGCGTCTGAGAAGACAGGCGGAGTGGAGAGGGACGCCCCCACCCCGGGCGGGGCCGCGGGCCGCCATCAGAAAACAGAGGCAAGGAGGCTCGTCCCCCGGACAGGGCTCCCTCGGTCTCGTCAACACCTCGTTCGGGACTTCGGCTCTGCCAGAACAAACGTGCTGTTTTGTGCCACAAACGAGCAGGAAGGAGCTACAGCGGCCACAGGGTGCTGACGGAGGGCGCGGGGACTCGACCCCGGGACGGACGGCTCAGCCGCCCACCTCGGACTCACGGCCCTTCCGCTGCACCCCTAGAAGCAGGCAACTCCTTCCTTCCGGTCTTCTCGTCACCACAGAGCAGGATCCTGATTCTGCTCTGCTTCTGCCATTTGACCACATGCCACAGTACAAGTTCTAGAAAGTTCCATGGCTGCCTCCAAGCCCTGGGTCCTTTCCCACCTAGCTGCATGACCTGCTTGAAAAGGCCTCATCCAGCCACCTGCAAGAGTGAGGACCCCTCCAAACTCCACTGTCGTTTTGGCCAGGGCCCCCGACATTGAGCAGGTCAGACCAGGCTGCCCAAGTTGTACCACCTAGAAGCACATCCCAGAACTCAGCCCGGATCCCGGGCCACAGTGGCAGTGACCACACGGGCTCCTGCTGTGACTGCACAAAGGCGGCCTGCCCGGAGCTCTGGGTCCAGCGGGTGTGGGCCGGGTGCCCCTGGGGACTGAGTCCGCAGATCTGCTCCCGAAGGAAACCCCAGCGGTCTCTGCCTGTCTGCAAGTGCTCAGGGGCCAGTCTTTCACTGCTGGGCCACCCCAGCGGGCCCTTTTCCTTACACAGAGGGGCGTCAGCTTCTCCTCTGCTCATCTGACTTCAAAGCATCATTTGAGCGCACTCTGCCCAAAGCACTGACTCTCTGAACAACAGGACTTTGCACATATTTACTCACTTAACTCTGTAAGGCAGGCAGTATAGACCCATTTTACAGAAGAATCAACTGAGGCTGGAAGAGAAGAACCAGGAAGGGCAGAGCCAGGATGTGAAGGGAGCAGCCTGGCTCCAGAGTCCACTCTCTCGCCTACACTGCCCGCCCCTCCCCCCCCGAGAGCCACATACTCCCATCAGTCGTCTCTGATGTATAAACGTGATGCGAAGCCATCTCGTCATGTCCCTGGTTTTGGTTTCTCTGTTGTGGAAGTAGCGCCGGGTCCCGGGTGCTTTCCGGCGCACTGGCTCACACGCCCCCTGGACTAAGCCATCAGGGCACCATCACGAAGGCCATCCCTTCTGTCACCCTCACAGACAGAAGCCAGCCTGAGATCTCCAATTCCAGAGGACCGCGCCGCAGGGAACTCCCCATTTCCGTAAGGACGGTCGCTTTTGCGTTTCTCGACTCCCTCTCCGGGGGGAGCAGGGGACGTCCTCGGTCAGCTCACTTACCCACGCTGGACGCAGCTGGTGAAAGCCGGCCCCCGTGGCCCGACGCGCTCCCCAGCTCTTCCGACAAAGAGGCCGAGCCCTCCCGGTGTCAGGACACCTGGGTCACGCACGTCAGCAGGAAGCCACTAACTAAACTACCAGCCAAGCTTCAGAAACACGGACGGGCTTCTTCAGCCATTTCAAAAACAGGAGTGCACATCTGGCCACAAGAAAGCCACCGCGTGGACGGGGCGAGGGAGGATGGCGTATGCGGACACAAGGTTTTCCATGGAAACACGGAAAAGGTTGAGCCGTAGGGCTCTTCCTAGCAAGGCCACGAAGCCCACAGGCACCTCTGAGTAAGTCAGCAAAGACGCTGCTTCTTCAAGGAAGACACCCTCCAGCACTGGCTGAGAAGAGCACCAGCTGGATGTCAGCCCCTCATTTCAATGCCCTTGTGCAGTGAACAACCCACACAACTGTTCACAGAGGCCATGCTGACCACTTCCCTCCGGTAGTGAAGGTTTCTGAGGGCGGCAGGCAGTTGTTGTCAGAGGTCGGTTGTTTTTGGATCAAAGTGAAACTCCTAACATTACCACTTTAAAACAGACACTCGAGTGGCATTTAGTCTGTTCCCAATGCTGTGCAATCGCCACGTCCACCCAGTTCCAAAATGACACAGGCACAAAAGAAAGGCTGTACCCAGTAAGGAGGCAATGACCCTGCCTCCTGCAACACCAACCTGCTCTCTGTCAAGGTTACCTCCGTCTTTACAAGAAAACAAATCCTGAACACCACATTCTAGCCCAGAGTGTGACTTCAGCGTGGGGTGGGGGGGGTATGCGTGGCAGGTGAGTGCACACAGGATATGTGTGTGTACAGGGTGCGTGTGTGCTCAGCAGGTGTGTGTACATGACAAATGTTTGTGCACAGGGTATGTTTGTCCAGGGGATGTGTGTGCACAAAGAGGTATGTGTGCAAAGAGGTTTGTATGCAGTTTATGTGCATGGCAGTTATGTGTGTGCATGGGTGTTTGTGTATGGGTGGAGGGTGTGTTTGTGCATAGGCTGTGTGTGTGCACGGTGTGTGGGATGTGTGTGTGGATGGAAGGTATGTGTGGCAGGTACATGTGTGTGGCAGGTGTGTGCACGCACAGGGGTGTGTGTGTGTGCAGTATGTATGTGCACAAGAGTGTGTGTGTGCACTCACACAGGAGTGTGGGTGCACAGGGGTGTGTGTGAGTGCACAGGTGTGTGTGCAGTGTGTGTGGGTAATGTGTGTGCACAGGGGCATGTGTGTACACAATGTGTATGTGTGCACAGGGATGTGTGTGCAGTGTGTGTGCGTGCACCATGTGTGCGCATGCAGGGCTGTGTGTGCGCAGTGTGTGTGTGTGCACAGTGTATGTGTGCGGTGTGCGTGCGTGCACAGGTTGTGTGTGCAGTGTGTGTGCATGCACAGGGATGTGTGTGCACACCGGGAGGGCACGCGCACACAGGGGTGCGTGTGGAGGGACATGGGCACAGACAGGACTTACTCCAGCAGATGCCTGTGGTTGAGCTCGTGGGACGGGGGCATCTGGCAGCAGCTGAAGGTGATGACTCGTCTTCTGAGGCGGTCCTCCCCTGCGGGGGCACCCACAGGCGCGAGCCCCAGCGGCGCCCAAGGCCGCCTCCCCGGGGAGCACCCACAGGCGCGAGCCCCAGCGGCGCCCAAGGCCGCCTCCCCGGGGAGCACCCACAGGCGCGAGCCCCAGCGGCGCCCAAGGCCGCCTCCCCGGGGAGCACCCACAGGCGCGAGCCCCAGCGGCGCCCAAGGCCGCCTCCCCGGGGAGCACCCACAGGCATTCATGCAAAACACAAGCCTCCTGAGCAGGCGGCCCGAGCCAAGAAGGCCAAGTGGCCTGCAGGTGGCAGAGGCAGCACCTGCCGAACAAGCATCAACGACGCGAAGCTCTGTGCACATGAGCCAAGGTCACGTTCACCACCAGCCGGCGCTGGGAGCAATCTCTCCAGTCTGCCAAGGGGAAACGGGCCTGGCGGGATTAGGTCGTCCGTGCAAAGCCACACACGGGGCTGAGGGTGCCCAGGACTCAAACCTGGATGCGTCTGGCTTCAAAGCCAGTGTCCAGCCACCCTGCCTGCTGTACCCCCCCCCCACATGTTCCCCGGGGCGTCCCCAGGGCTCCGGGCCCGGGAGGAGGCTGGGTGGCCTGGAGGACAGTCACCCCTGGACAGGACCTCACAGTGTACAGGAGTCCTAATGCTCAGTGCTGCCGCCCTGCCCGCGTGGCCCTGGTGACCCTGTGACTGTCCTAACACAGTGGTGCTCACCACACACAGGACAGTTGGGGGGGGCTGCTCCCCAAGGGCCAGTGCCTGTCTAACCATCTGCCCCAGAGCCCAGGCCTTCTGCTCGTCCTGGCACCCAAAGCGTGTCCAATACTCGGTCACTGATCAGCCACAAGGCTCATCCTGGAGCCCGAGAAAAACAGACCCTCTGAGAAATCACACGACTGTAAACCCACTTTCACGGTGAAGCAGTGTTCACATCTGTGTTCAGAGGTTGCTAATGAGGGAAAGGATGAGAGCTCTGAATCGGACAAACCAGGACCGCACACCTGCACACACACGCACACGCACGCTGCACACCTGGGGCCAGCCGCTTGTGATTTAGGACACGTCTGGTTCTTCCCAGGAGCCCGGAAGCTACTCGGATATTCAGAATCCTACTGCTGTTCTGGTTTCCAGACACAGCACTTTCTCGCCTCATGGGGGCCTTAGGGATTCTGCTCACGCTGCCCATGTGTTTAGAAAGCCCGTTTGGAAAGACTGCACCAGAAGCCACATGGTGATCTGCTCCACCACATGGGGGCTTTGGGCACTAAACCCTCGATGGCTGTGCCTGGAAGGAGAGTGTCTCCCACACGCTGCTTCTACCATCTCAGGGGCCAGGGCCCCATGCCCAACCTGAGTCTGTGCTCGCCTGTGGGGCCCAAGGGCAAAGGACGGCCTTGCTTCTCAAGGGGGGAATCGTCTGTGCAGATACAGAAGAAACAAGGAATCGAGTCCCCCCAGGGCTGAAAGGGAACGTTGACTTCCGTGGTGAGAGGTCAAGAACACGCGCATCACCATCCGGAATCAGCCCGCGTGGGAAGTCTGGGGATGTGCTGAATTGTATGGCGAATGGGAGAGCAGGTCGGCAAGCTCGCTCTGGGGTGCACTCGGCTCTGGGGAGGCCGGACACGACATCCGCCCGGTCACGCCGTCCCGGGCAAAGGGCAGTGACGTGGGGGCGGGGTCTCCGTCCAGTCCCACAAGCCCCTGAGAAGCCACGGGGCTCCAGCAGCCGGGCTGCCTCTGAAGCGACCTCCACGTGGCTGGGCTTGGGCCACGCTTCACAGGTGAGGGGCTCTGTCCTTCACAGGACGGCACTCACTCCAGGCAGGAGACGTTGCCCGGAGGGCCCCAGGCCACCCCACTTCTGACCAGCTGGCTACAAACCCAGAGGTCCCCACTGCCCCCCGGTGACCGATAATTCACTAGCTCACTTACATTTTATCATAAAGGATTCCGATCGAGAGCGGCCAGGAGGGGAGAGGCAGGGGCGGCGTGTGGGATGGTCCTGGTGCCTCTGTGCCCTCTCCCCGTGCACCCTGGGACATCACCATGTCACCACCGCCCAGGGTGGCTCCGGGGTTTCATCACACGGGTATGGGTGACTGAACTGCGACTCGGTCAACACACAGCTCGACCAATCAATGCGGAGGTGCTGCCGACTGAGTCCCTGCCTGAGGACTGAATGTGGTCTCCAGCACCTGGAGGGCACGACCCCAGGACCCTCTGACCCCCGCTGGTCGCTTCTGGCACAGCAGCCCCATCCTGAGCTGTCCCCGCGGCACCCATGACCCAGGGATCTTCCGCGGGCCCCCCACGGGCACACACCGGCAGGGGTCACGACCCAGACCCCCTCCCCCCCCCGCGGGCACACACCGGCAGGGGTCACGACCCAGACCTCCCTCCCCCCCCGCAGGCACACACCGGCAGGGG